CAACCGAATTAGAAGTTGAGTAGAATATATTAATAACACCATTTAGCAGAATAAAATACCTATTAATATGATTGATCAGTTCCAACTAAATCTAAATATTCAATTCAAATATTGTAAAAATATGTGAACAGAGAAACACAAATTAATCAATAATACTTATCATGTTTATCATTTGTTGTTTTTCTATATATGTTAGCTAAATTGTACTGGAACTTGAAAATATTTTCATATTTACCTAAAATTAGACTAGGATTTTGCTAAAATATAAAAGTATCTATAGATCATCGATGACAATTTATGAAAATTTGAAGTTTATTTCACATTTCTAGAAAAATACTTTATCTTTTGTTGACAAGCTAAATTTTCAAGTATTTGTTTTTGAATAGAAGTAATCGTTGACCCGTGAAAATTGTATTCTTTCAATAAATAAGTTGCCGAGTCATTGTCTACAATGAAGACAATCAATGAATCAAGAATGATAACAATCTAAGATATGACACACCTGAAGTTCAAAAGTACCAAAGACATAGTTTATATGTAGATAGTTAGATATGTGTCAACGAATTCGATTTCATGACATTAATTTTTTCCAATAGAGGGATAAAATCTGAACCAATTTGAATATCATCGAACAGATAAATGACGAAATATTTCGATTAGCAATCAAGAAGATGATAAACTGCCGTTGTCTTCAATAGAATTTCTATATATTGACAAGCGTATATTTGACTACTACATCGATAGAACTCTCAATGGGATCTGTGCCACTCTGAATGAGTGAGGAATCTGACACTTACATTCGCTTCTTAGCAAAATCCTCGGATTATGGTGCATAAATATGAAAAAAATTTCACCTCACCATAACATTTAGCTAGAATGTGCAAAAAAAAATAACAAGTTGTAAAACATACTTTGAAAGTATGTAGCTTTGCAGTTCAATATGCTAGACAAATCTCAAGTTAAGCGCGAATCCATTATAACATGTTCTAGTCATTCGATCTCTTATGATGTGGGTGAAAAGAAAACTGACAGCCGCATTCTTACACTCACAACTGAATATGGACATAAATCTTCCTTTTGTAATTTTTAAGCAACATCAATTTGTGGATGTTCATCTTCTTTTCATCCACAGGTTCAAATACAAGGAATACTCACACCTCATATCCACATTATGATTTATCACATACCATTCATATTCATCAATCTCTTGGAGAAAATCCTGGAATTTTATTTTGAAAAAATGTTTTTTTTTTGTAAATAAGAGACTATTTGGTAGTCTTTAGATTTCTGTATAATTCAATTGTTCTAATAAAATGAATACAGTTAGTTAACAAACTTTTCCGTATTAATGATAATTATCAATGTTTGCATAGGAGAAATCGTTAATATTAGTCCATGTATCATATTAGAATTATTTTATTTCAGCCAAATAAAAAAGAGTTATCAATTCCTTGGCAATATAATAAAAGTTTTTTTTATATTTAAAGATAATTTTTCATTTGATAAATATGCATATTATTTTAACGAATGTATAGATATTGTTTTAAAAAAATGTATTGCTTGTTGATTGAAACTTTATATGAATATCGATTCTAGTTGATGATACTAATGTCTGCAACTAAAGAAAAAGATCTGTAGAATACTATACGCGGAGTTAAAGATTACGTAGCCAAATAATTGAAACAGTTCTCTTAGTATGTTTCAGTTGAAGATTTGTACTTTCTTTTTTATAGTGAAACTGGTTATTCATTTTCATTAAATGCAAAACTCAAAATGAGAATAAACGAAACTCGTGACAGAAAATAAAAGCAAAGACAAGAACATGACAAAAAAATATAGCTCTAAAAACAAAACTCCTGTTTCAAAATATGGTTTTATTCTAATACAATTAGGGATGCACTGGTCACTTTTTTTTGTATTTCTGTGTCTCTCCTACGCAATACATTTCAGAAACTCGTGCACTTAATTTTCGATAAGAAGTGATCTCTCGCCCTAACTAATTTTGAGGAATACCCATCAGAACTTCGGAGTAAAGCAGAGAATCAAGCTATTAAGGTCATAAAAAGCCCAAAGGGAGACCGGAGTATTAGAACCACTGAATGCATCGAGTCTTATGTTGTTTGAGTAATATGGGAAACTGGTCTTTACCGCAGACTTTCCTAGTTCTAAATTGGCAGTATTGATATTAACTAGGAATACAACGGTTGAGGCCATTCACCAGTTAACCGTCATCGTTTCATTGGTCCAAACCAATAACCATATCTACGGTTACTAATACAATTAGAATCATTGTACCTACGTTGTTCGATCCAATCACGATAACCGTACCGATGGTTACTGATCCAACTAAGATCATTGTGCCTACGGTTATCAATCTAACTACAATAGTCACAAGTACGTTTACCTGTCTAGCTACGGTTATCGGTCTAAGTACGATAACTGTATCTACCGTTAATAGAGAAAGTACGAGTATCGTAGGTACAGCTGATGGTCCGGTTGCGATAACAGCATCTACAGTTACCGGATCAACTACGATCACCCTAGGTGCAGTTATTTGGTCAAACCCGTTGTCGTGAAAAACAGTATTTTAAAGAAAGTAATGATTTTTATAAAGATTAACTGAATAAGCCGGGGCTGAAGCTGAAGAGTCTAAATTCGAAGCCAGGCTTTGAAAATTTTCAACTGAAGTTGTTAGATTAAAACAGTCTTCATTATAAAAGTAACTATCTTCTTGATAGGTTTCCGAAAGGAAATGCAACTTGATTCATTCGACTCCAATACTTAGGAAAACTAAAACATTCAACAAGAAATCTTTTCATTGATAATTGAAATGCAGAACTTGGACATATTGGTATCAGATTCGAGTCCCTGGAAACCCATCTACATTGAACATTGTTTATTAAATATCAGCATCTTTCTTAAAATCCTCCCTTAGCGTAAAAAGTCCAGGGTGTGGGTGCGGGTGAGGGTGTGTGGATGTGAGTGTGGATAAAGAGAATATCTTCACTCACAGCCACGCCCACACTCACACCCACCCGATTTTAGTTTTTGTTGATTATATTTCATTAAATAGATTTGCTTGAATAAAATCGAGTACACAAACAATTAATCGTCATTTAGCATTAAATCTATGCTTGAAAATAAATATGAAAACACTATATAATGTCATGTATTCATCGTGATTTTTTTCTACGAATTATGATAATTATTTAATTAACGACTTTCTTATTTGTTATCTCGTTTAATAAATTAAATCTCTTAGAATTCTATTTTAATTATTTGATCTTATTCATTCATTTATATGATTAATTAGCTACAATAAACCAGTTTTGGAATTTAGAAGAAATTAATGATTAATTATGAAAACTATCCAATGATGAATGCGTTTAATTAACTACTCTCAACTTTTTCTTTAAAGTTTAAAATATGTCAACGTTATCTGAACAAAAAAAAGAAAACGAATGATAGAAACTTGTGAAAATATACATAAATAGCACAAACTAACTAGTTAAACAATAATAACTGTGTTAAAGTCAATTGTAGACAAATTTGATTTCTACTAAACATGATTTAAATCTTGTGTATTTTTAATATTTTTAGTAATTCTACCTTTGAAATCAAAAACAAAATAGAAAATCTTTTGTTGAATAGAATCTCACTTTTGTTAAACTCATTATGTCATTGAACAGTTGAAAACATCAACTAATGTTTTCGATTGTGCAATATATTATTTTTAATTTTAATATCAAATTAGAAAAGTATTTCTTTCTACCGATTGACTTATTTTTTAAACGCTATATTAATCATTATCAAAGTCTTTTATAAACAATCATGATTCACAGTTTGTTTTTTTAAGAAATTCTCTTAAATATTAAGAATAAATCAAAATTGTTTTCAGATAGAAACTGATGAAAATATATATAAAACACTATAAATGTAATAAGCATTGAGATCCTTCGAAGATTTTCACGATTTTTTATTGATTTTGTAAACTGAGTTAAAAAATATAATTCACTTAATATATCTCAATCACAGAAGAATTCGACTATACGTAGAAAATAATATTGACATGAAACATTGTCGGTTAATATTTTAGAGAATTGTAAATAATATAGTGCATGTTTTAGTGCATAAAATTAAGTTGAAATCTTAACAGTGAGAAAAATATTAAAAAAAATAAAAAATAAAACTGTTATTTTTTCACGGACTTCACGAACCTCAAGTTTTTCTTTTTCTCGAAGATGATTAACGCAAGTGAAGTTAGCCAAAGATTCGAGTTAAATTAGCTAGAATTCGTCTAGGAACGGCTCCAAGCTGCTCCATTGCACTCCTAAGTACAACTCGACGAGCTCTATCTAATGGTGTAAGCAGATTTTTGGTAAGCTAAATCTTGCCTCTAAAAAAGCCGGAATACGAGGATTCGACGTTATGATAGATATATATATGATAAAGGTCATTTATACGAGGGATGATTATTAGGGCTTCCGGAAACGATCAGAACTGACCGAGAAGATGAGAGAAACTCATCTGTTGCAGCAGAAATACTCTGGAAGTCGATGAGGGTTGACAGCATACCCCAGGTCAAAAGAGATCGTCGGATTTTACCGCTGACTTCCAATAATTTGCTTCGGGTAAGGAAACAAATTTGGCCGGAGGACTCTGGGAAATCAGAGGATTCTTGGGTCCGAACTGCTGGGTGTGGGTTATTGTCCGTTTGTCAGTCACACCCACACCCACACCCTCAAGATAGTTCTGGTGGTTTCCGGAAGTCCTAATCATCATCCCTCGTATAAATGACCCAATAATTTTATCATATATATATCTATCATAACTTCAAATCCTCGTATTCCGGCTTTTTTTAGAGGTAAGATTTAGCTTACCAAAAATCTGCTTACACCATTAGATAGAGCTCGTCGAGTTGTACTTAGGAGTGCAATGGAGTAGCTTGGAGCCGTTCCTAGACGAATTCTAGCTAATTTTACTCGAATCTTTGGCTAACTTCACTTGCGTAGATGATTATGATTGCCAACAGTTTTCATCAATCGATTATTTGAATCAGTATGCACTTTAGCTGCACAACCATTAATAGTGCATATCCAATATTTAGTAGTTGTTGTTGCTTTATCCAATTTAACAGTATAATCATCGGCAACTAGTAGAGATTTTCCTTTATTTGAATTTATAAATGAAATAGCAGGAGATTTTGCTTGAATTTCACCAGTTAAAGTTACGAAAGCTTCAGCCATGACAGTACAATTTTAGTTATATAATAATTCTTTGTT